GAGGTAGATTGAAATCACCAAGAAAGATAAAAGGGTATGGGCAGGATGCAGCCCATGTTAGTAATGTATTTAGCTTGTTTACATGTTCGATGTCATAATCAGGTGCTCTGTAACATAGTAAGAATCGAATTGTGATATTTAAGGATAGTTCACAGATGATGGTCTCAGGAAGAGCAAGCTCCTGGGTAACTTGGATATTTTTTAGATGTAAGGATTTTTTATAGAATATAGCAACACCACCTCCTCGACGATTTTCACGATCTGATCGGTAAACATGATAGTCTCTTACTGTGGTAATGGAGTCGGGGAGAGATGCATTGAGCCATGTTTCACAGACAAATATAATGTCGAAGTTAGCCATATTTAGGAGGATGAGAAATTCAGGTATTTTATTCACGAGGCTTCTTGCATTGAGTAGTTTGCATTTAAGGCCGGCAGTAGTTGGAATTGAGGTAGTTGGGGGCGTGCGTGCCTAGTCTTGGGTGATGGTGGATCGGTTGAGGTAGGGTTGTGGTTGAGGGTAAAAGCTGAGTATTGGGTTGCGTGGCTTACTTTTGATACAGTCAGCATGGTAGTCAATGTACAGGTCCTTCTCTCCATTGTCTAGATGGTTTTTGAGTTCAATGCGGAGTACACGGGAGCGGGCACGTTGCTGTATGGTTAGGTCAGGGCGGCAACGGAGGTTCTTATGGTTGGTGTTGGTTTTGGCGAGTGAGTTTATAGTATAAATGAATTTACGTTTGCTTGATTCATTTTTGCAAATGACCCTGCACAAGCGTGGGGCCACAGAGCCGTCTCTATTTTTGAGCTCTCGGTCGATGCGGGAAATGTCAAGTATTTCATCAGCGGAGATGGTTGATGCTTGATAATCTCTGATGATGTTTCGGACAGTTGTGATGTCATCATTGACATTGATGTCCTCTAGACCAAATAAGATGGCGTTTGGACGTTTCCGTTCACGCTCAACGGCTTCTCTGATGAGGATTGGGATATCAATATTTGTCTGGGTTGTGTTTATTTGTGGATTGGGTTTTGGATTGGATTGTGGTTGTTGGGTAGAGATGTGGTTTGTAGCTATTGGATGTTTTTGCGTTGTGTCTTTTTTTTCCAAGGTTGGATATTCTTTCTTTTACGGCGTCCAGGGATGCTACTATGGTGTTAAGGGATGTTTCAATGGTTTCGATGGTAGGGGATGTTTCAATGGTTTCGATGGTATCAACTCTTTCAGACAGATCCAGTTTGGGTCTGCATGATTTGCAGAAATATGGAAACTCATTGGATGATTCTAGGTATTGAATCATTTGCTCAGGTAATCCCAAGCAGTCATGATGAGCGTATTTTTTACACAGAGAACATTTGATGGAGTTTTCATTATCCTTTAGATTTTTGTAACATTTAAGGCATGTGCAGGAGTCTTGTGGTTCATTGGTGGGGATTATCTTCTCTTTAGGTTGTGGTTTGGCGTAGGATTTTCTTTTTGCCATGGTAGGTTTGTTAAAATAGTATGTTGATTGAATTAATTAAAGGAACAATTTTGGGTAATCTATATAGCCAATATTACATCAAACAATCAATTGCAGTAATCTCTCAAGTCAGATAATATTCCTGAGCAACAATCAGCCTGATCAAGTCAGATAATATTTCTGAGCAACAATCAGCCTGATCAATTAATTACTCTAATCACTAATCAATTAATTACACTAATCATTAATCATACTGTTCATTTAAATTCACTAAATCATTGATTTTACTATTCAATTAAATTACATGAATTTTGATCTTTTAAACTAGTCAGTAATCACACTATTTGCACTAAACACTCTAATCACACTAATCAATTAAAACAATAAATCAATTAAACCATTAATAAAATATTTTATAGAAATATTATCTAATCTATAAATTCTATAAAAATATTTTATAGAAATATTATCTAATCGTTGATATAGGTGCTGAGGTAGAAAAGTTGAAAGTTTTGAGGTAGTGAATTAATCAATGTTTGATTAAAGTAATGAGGTAGTATTAAGAGTCTGCAAGGAACGGGTTAATTGTTTTACTAGCAGCTGTAGTTGACTGAATGAGAGGAATTTATTGCTCTTTGAATAGCAGATCGCTATTACTCTGTAAACAGGAAGTTGTAACACAATGTTCAAAGGGTTTTTATCCGAGTGAAGGAAAGGGCTTCACTTCTAAGAACAGAGGAAACCAACTAATCTTCTCTCTTTTTTTGCAAGCAGACTTTGATTCAGCAGAGACAAATTGAACAGCTCACAGGAAACTATTTGTTTTTGTTTTCCCTTGATGAATGAGATTTCTGGGCCCCTCCTAGTTAACTGAATACACTTTCAAAGTTTGTTGCTTTTAAGAGAAAGAGGCACGTCTTGCACTGGTAATTCTAACAGTTTATATTTTTACTGTGTAGACTCAGATTTGTATTGAGCATTCACTCATGGCTTCGATATACCTCTGCTTCTATCACTCCTGGCCTCAATATACTTCTGCTTCTATCACAGGGAATAAAATTGCTTCCAATCTTCTCAGGAGTTCAGTTATCACAATACTTCCCTACTTATTGGAAGTCCAAAGTTACTGTCCTTACAAAAGATGGAGTCCGGATTAGCAATTTGGCGAAGAGAAAAGAGGGAAGAGGGAAGTGGTATTGTTGCGCCCATTGGAAATGCTGGATTTGCTTCATGACCACTGGTTCACCTACTGACCACAGCGCTTAACAACCATTGTAAAACTGAAGTTAGATGACATGGGGACTTTCTTAATGATTGCATTGAGTTATGACCAAAATTCTGGAATCAACTGTGGTTATAAGTTAAGGACTACCTAAACAGGTGGTCCTCGACTTATCACAACAAAGCCCCAAATTTCCATTGCTTAGCAAGACAGTTGTGAATTTTGCCCCATCTTTTTGCACAGTTGTTAAATGAAATACTGCGGTTGTTAAGTGAATCTGGCTTCCCCATTGACTTTGCTTGTCAGAAGGTCACAGAAGGGGATCACGTGATCCCAGGATGGATCAGTTGCCAAGTATCTGGATTTTGATCACATTACCATTGCATTAGCGCAATGGTCATAAGTGTGAGGACCAGTCATAAGTAACTTTTTTCAGTGCTGTTGTACTTTGAAATAATCACTAAATGAATGGTTGTAAATCAAGGGCTACTTGTAGTTAATCTGTAAGATAAAACATTTTCATACCAAAGAACGTTATTTTAAGTCTGGGTGACGTTGCAGTGCATTTGTTTGCAGAAATGTTCTCTGTTGAGCAACTGATGAAAACATTTATGACAGCATCAGAGACAACCTGATTGATGAAAATGAATAGTTCTGTGGTTTTGTGACCATATTGTGATAGGCTTTTAGAATTCCAGTTTGTATTCAGCACTCTTCAAAGCTTCCACCCTACCATCCTGGCTACTCTTGACTCTCCAAGAGGAAAACATCTGTCAGATCCCTAAAGTGATACTGCCATTCAATTGGGAGAAGGGGGGGGGGGGGAAGACCTCAAATTTGATTCTTTATTTCCTCTGACAACTGCTAGTTTATAACCTTTACCCTGGCGCCTGAGTGCCTTGAGATTTTCTCACCTTTTGGGGAATGTACTAGGGGGGAGGGCCATGTGGGTTGTTTCACTCTGACCCTTGGAATGCCTGGTTCTCAGGACAGCTGTTGCAATAACATATTCACACCTGTGGATTGGCTGAATCCACGTTGAACTGGAGGGAGGGGTTTCTAATGCCTTATTTCTAACTTTTGCCTGGAAGGATTTAGAGTTTGCTTTGCCTTTGTCCTGTTTTCACTTCTGCTCAATAAAAGGTTCCTTTTCAAGAGTTTTTACTTTCTTGAGTTAGAAGGAGACGCAAGTCCTTACAATGTCCTTTGCAATGGCTCTTGGGATAATAGCTCCTTTGATTCAGTTGGTGGGATCCCCTACAGGGATCACACCCAAAACCACCAACAAGGACATTTGACTGGGTTAAAATAATTTGGGGAACGTGGTTAACGGATGCAACATGTCAAGTCAACCTGTTCGTTTGAGCCATCTTACAAACTTTGGGAAATAGATGTACAGCTGTCCTGATGAACAATAGTCTTTCCTCTGGGCTCAGGGGTATCAAACTTGATTTCATTGAGGGCCACACCAAGATTGTGTTTGACCTTGGAGGGGCTGGGGTGTGTGGCCAGGGTGGGCATGGCCAGCTCAACATCACTCATGTTGGGGGTGGTGCCGGTGGTGGCCCCAGCACTCTACCAGAGATAAGGGGCTCCCAAGCTCCGTTTTTGGCTGGGCCGGCCCCCTGCAGCCCTCTGCTAGACAAAATGAAGCTCGGGGGGGGAGGGGGGGTGCAATGGCGCTCCAGAGTTCCATGTTTGCTGGCAGAGGCACCTTCTCTGTTTTCAGGGCGGCCCAGCGGCCCAGATCTAAGCAACCCGCTGGCTAGATCTGGCCCCTGGGCCTTGAGTTTGACACCCCCGCTCTAGAGGCATACAATACAGGTAATCCTCGACTTACAACCACAGGTGAGCCCAAAATTTCTGTTGCTAAGTGAGACATTTGTTAAGTGAATTTTGCCCCATTTTATGACTTCATGCCTTAGTTGTTAAGTGAAACACTGCAGCTCTTAAGTTAGTAACGGTTGTTCAATGAATCTGGAATCCCATTGATTTTGCTTGAAATCAAGGCCACAAAAAGTGATCACGTGATCCCAGAACACTGCAGCAGTTGCCGAGCACCTGAATTTTGATCATGTGGCCATAGAGATGCTGCAACGGTTGTAAATGTGAAAAATGTTCATAAGTCACTTTTTTCAGTGCCGTTGTAATTTTGCACGGACACTGAATGAACTGTTGTAAGTTGAGGACTACTTGTATTGAATACAACTGACTTGAAATTGAATCTAAGTTGATCGCATAGTCAAGGAAAATTACTCTGAGCTGTGTGCACACCAGTCTGTATTTATCAATCTATACTTCCTTTTTTTTTGCAGCTACCTTTTGAAATGGAAATCTATTACATTCAACATATCATGCTCTATGTTGTCCCCATCTACCTGCTACAGAAAGGAGGTATGTCTGGGGGGGGGGGGGGGCTTACAGATACTATTTAATTATATCCTGTCTTCCTAGCTAATCAGCTATGTTCTAGAGAAGAATAGGAGATCCTTCAGCCACTGAATGTTAGTTTTGTTCCTCAATTCTTACCAAGGAAGTTATATTTCCAGCAAAACTTCAGCAAAGCTTTTCACAGTTTAAAAACATAGAACATAGAATCATAGGGCAAGTCTTTTATCTAACTCTCTGCTCAAGGCAGGAGCATCATTCCATCCAGACAAGTGGCTGTCCAGTCTCCTCTTGAAAACCTCCAGAGATGGAGCACTCACAACTTCTGGTGGCAAGCAGTTCCACTGATTAATTGTTCTCGCTGCCAGGAAACTTCTCCTTACTACTAGGTTGGATCTCCTTTTAAACAAGCTTCTACCCATTACTATCTGTCTGCCCTCTGGACAAAGGGAAAGTCATCAAAAAATGAATTCAGCCCCGCCCTCTCCCCCAAGAAATTGTAGATGTTTCCTTGTTTGTGAAAGGGCCCTTCTGACTTTGCATGAAGACTTCTTCATTTGCTGCCCAATCACAACCACTTCTTGGCCAGGCCAGGAGAGCTTTCAAACCACCTCCTTTGGGTTTCTGCAACTCTCTGCTACCCTCTGCTGGTGGCCTGCAAACTCCACCTTCCATTAATGTTTGTCAAAGGTGGGATAAAATGTTGTGAAATAGGAAAAAAAGCCCGCAAATGAATGAAAACCCTTGATGACCTTATCTGGGAACATGTTATTGTGACTAGGATTAACTAGGATTAACATGCAAAACATAGGTAGCCATATAATATATGTCCAAATCACCTGAAGGCAGGACAAGAATCAATGGAGGGAAACTAACAAGGAGAGATCCAATCTAGAATGAAGGAGAAAGTTCCTACAGTGAGAACAATCAATCAGCGGAACAACTTGCCTCCAGAAGGTGTGGGTGCTCCAACACTGGAGGCTCTTAACAAGAGACTGGACAACCATTTGTCCAGAATGTCTATGGAGCGTCTCAGTCCTCCAGGTCAGGGTTGTCCCAAAGATGCTTTTTTCAAGAGGCAGCTGGACTTTGCTTTTTCTTTTGAAGACGTTTCGCTTCTCATCCAAGAAGCTTCTTCTTCAGCTCTGACTAGATGATGGGGAATGGAAGGATTTATACTCCTGTCTGCAATCCCTTTGATTCTATGTTCTATCTATGGGAAGGCTCTCAACAGTAGAGTGGTTCATAGTTCTCATAACTATCATGAGCAAATTGCAATATAAGTCCTCAGCTAGATAAGTTTTCTAAACAAACAAACAAACAGGATCTTGGTGGCAAGATCCAAGAACTCAGACTCTGGATCTCATCCACTTTCCATGGATTCCTTTGAGATCTGTTGACCATCTTATGTGGTAGGATGTTCTTTTGAGATTCCCCCCGCCCTTATTATTTTAACAGCATGAAATTTGCTATTAAGGTCTCAGCAAAGCTTAAATCAAAACTATCGCTTACCAAACACATGAGACCCAATTCAGATTTCTGCTAAGCTGTGTTGAAGTTTCTCTAGTTTTGGTTTAGAAGATGGAGTTAAACTCCAAAGATTTTGCTAACCTTTTTCTGCAGGTAATCCTCCACTTAAGGACCACAATTGGGACCAAAATTTATATTGCTAAATAAGCAGCTGTTAAGCGAATTTCACTCTATTTCACCACATTTTTGGGTTATAGATTGTTAAGCTAATCATTGCAGCTGTTAGAGAAATGCGGACATTAAACAAATCTGGCTTCCCTCATTGACCTCACTTGTCAGGAGCTGGCTGAGATGTGTGTGTGTGTGTGTGTGTGTGTGTGTATGGTATTCAGCTTTGTTTGGGTATTTTCCCACATCATTATAGTTGTGCTTTTAAAGTTGTAGCAACGTTTCGACAGAATCTCATCTGCCATCATCAGGCTTCTGTATTGTGTTCGTCTGTGAGTCAGACTTTCACAGCTGTTTCAGTTTTAAATTTGGGGCTAGCCTATGCTGTGCCAGAATGGTTTTTTCTTCATCCTGATTGGTTGGGAGTCTTGGTCTGTGTTTATTGGTCTTGGAGTTTGCTGTGTTCTGCTTGATTGGTGTTTCTAATATCTTCTGTCTGTTTTGTGGCTTTTTTTGTCTTGATTGGGTTGCAACATTGTGTTCCTGTATTGGAGGCTTTTAGTGCAGCTTGGCTCCGAGTAAATGGATGGCTATCATTTGTTAGGAAGCTAGTCATCTCTTCTATTCAGCCCACCAGACTGTCAATTATTTGGAAGCCTGCACTCTCAAACAAAAAAAATCTCCACACCACAAGCCAGCCAAACACCTGGGCACAAACAGATCCCCCCTGATACCTCCAACTCAAACACACCCCAACCAGGCACCCAGATGAAACTTAGCTTCCTAATAAATGATATATGTGTGTGTGTGTGTGTGTGTGTGTGTATGGTGATCACGTGACCCTGGGATGCTGCAACTTTTGTAAATGCCTGTTTGCAAGTGCCCAAATTTTGATCACATGACTCCCTGCAGTAGGTGCAAGTGCAAGAATTGGTCATAAGTCACATTTTTCAATATGGTTGCAATTTTTGTTGTTAAACAAATGGCTGTAAGTCAAGGGCCAGCTGAGGAGCTCTGGAGAAGTTGAGTTAGGCTGGGAAGAAAAAAAAAGTGTAATTTCAGCTCTTCCCAACTGTTTCTCTTCTCTCCACTCTTCCTTTTTACCCATTTCCCAGATGAGTCTCCATTCAGTGATTTTCCACTGTATGCAGAGAAGGAATTTCTGACTGGAGAAGCATCAAAGAGGGAAGAGAAAGCATTTCTGAGCTGAAATTCAAAAGCTCAGAATGGGAGCCATTGATGCTTGGAAAAATAAGCATGTAGATTTCTTTTCCAGCTGGCTTGGTTGCCAGGAATTTGCCCGGGTTTTTTTCCCTTGGCTTGTACAGTGCATTGTTTGAAAGCTCCTGCCATCAAACCAGATGCTTCTAGAGGCAGGGCCAAGCAAGCTTTCTAGTTAACTGTTTCTAGAGCAATGCATCAAATTGTCATTACTCTCTACAACAGGGATGTCAAACTCGATTTCATTGAGGGCCGCATCAGGGTTATATATGACTTCGGGGTGTGTGTGTGTGCCAGGGTGGGCGTGGCCAGCTTGATGTCACTCATATCAGGGGCTCCTGTGGTGGCCAGAGTGCTCTGCCAGCAAAAATAGGCTCCCAAGCTCTGTTTCCGGCTGTGACAGCCTCCGCTGACCAAGGGTTGCAGGAGGCTGTTGCAGCTGGAAATGGAGCTTGGGAGCCCGTTTTTACTGGTAGAGGCATTGCAGGCCAGTCCCTTGCTGTTTCCTGGGTGACCCTGCGGGCCAGATCTAAGCACCCTGCAGGCTGGATCCAGCCCGCAAGCCTTGAGTTTGACACCCCTGATCTACAAGTAGTCCTTGACATCTGATGCCAAAATTTGAGTTTCTGTTGCTAAGCAAGACGGTTATTAAGTATGTCCCATTTTATGACCTTTTTACCATGCTTAAGCGAATTGCTGCCATTGTTAAGTGAATCATGAGGTTGTTAAGTGAATCAGGCTCCCCCCATTGACTTATCGGAAGTCAGCTAGGAAGGGTACAAATGGGGACTGCATGATCTGGGAAGTGTAACCATCATAAATACATGCCAGTTGCCAAGCACCCAAACTTTGATCACGTGACCATGGGGATGCTGCGATGGTTATAGGCATGAAAGTGTGAAAGTCACTTTTTTCAGTGCTGCTGCAAACTTTGGTCACTAAACAAGTGATTGTAGGTTGAAGACTACCTCTAAAGGAAACTTGCATAAGTCCTGTTGTGGTTCACTGGCAGCAGGTGCAGGTCTCTGAGAGTGAGGACTAAGATGAGGGGCCTGCGTAGTGATGAAGGGATGGGGCAGGACTACCGGAGAGTGGGGTGCTGCCTTCAGAGCTTGTGGAGTCTGGCAGCAGTGACAAAGAGGACTCCGAGGTGCCTGTGCTCAGCGCGCATGGCTGCTCGAAGGAAAGAACAGCTGAAGTAGTATGGGTGACTTGGGAGTAAGACTGCAAGGTGATGGCTCCTCCCAAAAGGGATAAAAGCTAGCCTTCGGGGTTGGCTTCTTTGCAGGAAGCAAAGAAGTTCTTTCAACTCAAAGTTCTCGTGGAGGTCTTGTCTATTTTGGTTTGTTTTCAGAGACTTTTGGCTTTTTCTCTGGATTACTCTTGTGTTCTTGGCAGCCTTTCATAACCTTGAAAGGGCTTGCTCTTATCTAGGACAATTAGTTTGAATGACTCTTTGCTGTGAATGAACAGAATTCACAGAGACACATTAAAAAGGTTTGCTTTTATATATACTTTGTGTTTCTTTGATTTGAACAAGGTTTGAGTCAGAACAGGTCCAAATAACGGGGGAGGATTGCACAAATGTCTCAAATAGACACTCCTCCTGATTCACATGAATACAGGTAGTCCTTGACTTATAACAGTTCATTTAGTGACCATTCAAAGTTACAACAGCACTGAAAAAAGTGATGTTTTTCACACTTTATGATGCTCGTAGCATTCTAATGGGCATGGGATCAAAATTCAGATGTTTGGCATCTGACTCATATTTATGACGGTTGCTGTGTCCTGGGATCACCGTTTGTGACCTTCTGACAAGCAAAGTCAATGAGGAAGCCAGAGTCCACTTAACAATCGTATTACTAACTGAACAACTGCAGGGATTCACTTAACATTTTCTTTGCAAAGAAAGGTCATAAAATGGGGCAAAACTCCCGTAACAACTGTCTCATTCAGCAACATAAATGTTTGGCTCAATTATGGTTGTAAGTGCAGGATCATCTGTAGTTGCAATTTGAATGGTCACTAAACAAATGATCATGATTCAAGGACTAATCATAGTCTGGCTGAATGAGGCTGTGTATACCATTAACTTTCATGCCTGCTCTGGCATTGACCTCTGCGGTCCTGGTTTGCTGAAATACAGGTAGTCCTCAACTTACAACAGTTCACTTAGTGACCAAAGTTACATTATGTCATTGAAAAAAGTGACTTTTGACCATTCTTCAGAGTTACAACCATTGAGCATCCCTACAATCATGTGATCAAAATTCAGATCCTTGACAACTGACTCATATTTAGGACTGTCGCAGTCTGCCGGGGTGTGTGATTCCCCTTTTGCTACCTTCTGACGAGCAAAGTCAATGGGGAAGCCAGATTCACTTAACAACCGTGTTACTAATTTAACAACTTCCGTGAATTACTTAACAAATGGGGCAAGAAAAATTGTAAAATGGGACCAAACTCAATTAACAAATTTCTTACTTAGCAACATAAATTTTGGGCTCAGCTGTGGTCGTAAATTGAGGACTACCGGGATTAGTATGCAATTTTTTCTAGCCAGGAGCCAGCCATGGTCTTCTCAGTATCTTGAAATCTTTGCAGTTCTCTTCTTTGGCTTTCAATCTGATCTACAACAGAGGTATTCCTACTAGCTTATGTTTTCTATTGCAATAATCTTGGATTTTCAGGGTGAAAATGGATACTTCGTTAAAGAAAGAATGGTGCCCACCTTGAAATAGCCCAAAATAATTTTCTCTTTTTCTCTCTTTCTAAAAGGTGTCTACACTCCTGAGCCATCCTGGAATTTTTGGTGGGCCTTGCTGTCCACTGGATTGATGTTTGTCTACCACTACAGTTTTTTACAGATCTTGGGACTCGTAAGTCAATTTACTTATATGGATTGTAGATCTCTCTTTGAGTTGTGTATGGGTGGGTTTATTAAAAATATGCAAATGGAGCAGGTAAGTAAAAAGAAAAAACAGAAGAGTAGCTTGAAGAAAAGAGAAAAGAATTCTTATTTTAAATGGTTTACCATCTGGCTAAGTATATTAAACAGAGGAAACTCCAGAGTGCTAAAAAGCTTCAAAATTACATCTGTTTGAGGGTGTTGTTTGGGGTGCAAGAGGAGACAAAGAAGAACTGACATATTTCAGGTTCATAGTCACTATGGATAGTGAGATGAGTGACATATGAAATAAATCAATAAATAAAATATTTAAGGGTTGGGGCATTATTACTTTTCTTAAAGTAGGGCAAATTGTTCTAAGGCAGGATAAAGACATTTCCCCCCCCCAAAAAAACCCCAATCTTTCTCCTGTTCTTCTAGATCACCGAAGTGAACTTGAATAACATGCTGTGCCCGGCTATTTCTGATCCTTTCTACGGACCTTGGTATAGAATCTGGGCTTCGGGACACCAATCCATCATGACCCTGTTCCATGGAAAACTCATCCTTCTCCTTTTCTATAATGCTGTCCCTTTCTTTAAGCTTGGTGTGGATGTACTACGATCTCCGGCTAAGAAAGTATCCTGAATCTCCATTCTGGTTTCTTTCTTGAAGGATCTAAAGGAGAACCATGATATTTGGGATTGGAGAAGAACACTTCCTATATTGTTTTAATTTCTTTCTTCTATTATGACATCAGGTTTATCTTCCCACTTTTCTGCTGAATCTTCATTACCTGTAGTTGACAAGGATGGCAAAACACGTGGGGTTATTTACAAAAAGCCACAAGTAGACTTTGAGTGCAACTACTGATCTTGCCACCTTAGACCTTTGGAATTTCAGATGTCCATCATATCATGGAAAGCTGATGGAAAGCACTAATCCGTGTTCTTGTGACTTCAGTGGGTTTTCCTCCTGTGTGGCAGCTCTTAGGTTTTACCTTCAGCAAAGAACCTCTTCTTGTCTCATATAGACTTTGAGCGTGAATAGTATTTGGTGCTTCCGCACTATCAGTGCAGATGGGAAGGCTGTTGGGTTGTTGAAACTGGTTAAACAAATGGGGAACAATAACAACCTACTTGCCAAACACTGCCTCCTGAATCTCCTGAAAGTTTAAGCTGAAGCCTGGTCAGATGCCATCATATCGCTGGCACCTTTCAGATTGTTCTAAATTAATTGGTGAAAAGCAGCTTAATTGCTGGATTAAGATTTAGGAGATGGATTTGTCTCAGTTAAAGGCATTGACCAAGAAAATCTGCCAATTTGGAGTTGGACTTTATGTCATAGTTAAGCATACTTAAGCATACTTAGTTAAGCATACTTACATAAATGTATTACATATTGTACATACATGTATTCAATGTTATGTCCACATATATATCAACTGCCCCTTCTAGGACACTCCAGAAGAAAGCATAACCTTTCTTCGTCCATGTTTCACCATCTAGCAAGACTCTGCTAGATGACAGTCCTGCAGACCAACATATTTGGATATCCTTGGGGAAGACAGCATACATGGAATATATATATATATATAGTGAAGCTAGCCAGATTTGACTGAAGTAGCTAAGCTCCAAAAATCATCCTTCACAGACATTGAGGAATAATTGAAAAGTTGGAGAAAAGTAATTCTCAGAAGCAGAATCTCTACCTTTTTGAGTTGTTGCTGTGATAGTTGTTCTGAATTAGATTCTGGCTACTCTTTGGTCCCATCCCGCCAGTCTCTCCAGTTGTATTGCCTTACAAGTCCCATGTTGGGCAGCCTTTGATACCTCAAGCAGAGAAAAATTGCCTTAAGGTCAACCTTATCTGCTGTTTCCACCTGAATGTAGGAAGTAATGGGGTAGGGTGGGGTGGGTACTCATCATGAAGAACTGGTGTAGTTATGAAATTTCATTCCAGTTGACCAAAACTTGAATCTCATTGCAGTTTGGTGCGATCAGAGAAGTATTCTTCTACTTGGGGACTTTATAGATCTTGGTTGTTGTTGTTGTTTTTTATTCGTAGCTCTTGATACATTTTGTAAATATTCAACTGTGAATATTCTTTAGTTGTCACATTACTATCAGTTCCTTCTATGCTGCCCAGTGGGAAATTGCATCTCTGTGTTTCTTGGGCCAAATTCCTGATGTCAAAACCCAGTGGGGCCCTGGGCAGCAATGTGTCTTCTGCTGCTGCTTTGATGAATTTTGATGTTTACTCTTCAACATAGCATATTTAAACAGATATATGTAGACATGCAATGAAATTTCTAGATGAATAACATAGCTACAGTGTATTTGTGCTTGTGTGAGAGTGTGTGCGTGCGTGTGACAGTTGTTCAGGACTCCTTCCATATAGGACCGTAAAACTTACAAGGAAATCTCCTTGTAAGCATCTGTTTTTAGTAGTGAATATTGAGTTTTCTTTTTCTTTTTAAAAGCCAAGAATTAGCTAGGGTGAATTTTTTATTTGGATCTGTCAATGAAAGTGATCTTTGTATTCCTCCTGTGATCTCAATTTTCGATCTGGACCTATCCTTTGATTCTGTGCCATATTTATCATCCACACCATGGCCTTAGTTTTCTCTAGTCTAGACCAGGGGTCTCCAACCTTGGCAACTTCATGCCTGGCGGACTTCAACTCCCAGGGGGAATTCTGGGATTTGAAGTTCACAGGCTTAAAGTTGCCAAGGTTGGAGACCTCTGGTCTAGACCATGTAATCGGTGTGTGGTGCCTCTTGATCACTGGAGAGACTTTAAATTTCCTTTCAGAGCTACTTGCTCGTAAAACAGGTGCCATTTGTTTTCTTTTCAGATCATACAATAGCTGAGACATTAAAAAAAACATTGTGTCCTCTGTTCAAGACCAGGTTATTTGATGAAAACGCTGCCTTGCTATCACAATAGATTGGGAACCTTGTTTTAAAGTCACTTCTCTCTAGCACCTATTGAAGAGTTCTCTTCTACATGCATCCTGGATAAATAGACCAGGGACTTGTAAACCTCTTTTGAGGGAGTATTTTCTTTCATTCTGTGATTTGGCAGAGCTGTGGAGACTGTTGATCCAAGTTGCAACTTCTGTGAACTAGAATTTTAGTTCTGGGCTGAAGCAATCAAATCATGGAGAGATTAGGGACTGCTGGTGCCAGTTCTGTGCAGAGGTTGCTAGTCTCATTTGATAAAAATAGCACCTTCAGCAGGGAAGATAGCTAATATTGTTTGTTCTAGAGCTGGGATTTTCCTTGTTCCTCGTTCTAAATTTAAGCTGGCAAGCTTTATTGGGGAGAAATGAAGCAGCAGGACATTGTCGTTTTTTATTTTGAATTTTTAAGATACATTCATTGTCCTTTGTGGCGCCTCAGTCAGGTGTGATCTTTGTAAATCACTAACAGTGCAAATGCCAAGGAAAGTGCCATATTTCCTTCTTTAAATGGAAGTATGGGAGAACGAAAAATACAGTTAGAGGGACACACGTTTAATTTATAGATTGGTTGGGGGAAGGGAATAATAGCATGAATCGATTAACTCAAAGAGAGAAGGATTTGCAGATTGCATCCCTTTTGGCCTCCTCCAAAATAAAAACCTTTTGTGGTTACTGTTTACTGATGCCTGGCAGCTTTCATTGGCCTGTGACAAATTCTTTGAATGAAAAGGTTGGCTCAAAGCATCCTGGAACGAGGCTTGGAAAAAGCTGCAAGCACAGATTGTCATGGAGGCCAAAAACAGAGCCTTGGAATGCTCTGGTCCTCTCGCCTAGCATCACCATTCCCATCACCTCTTTTGTCTTGGAAGAATCTAAGTTGGCTTCCACTAATTGTTTCTATCTACTGGGTATGAAATCCTTCTGTCTTGCTTTCCTGTGTTTTTAAAAAAACATCTTGTATGATCATTGAGCCCAAGGTTGCTCATGCTTTCCATTTATGGCTGTAGAACTTCTTGGAATTCTAGTTAGATGTTGTCTTTTGACGACCGCCAGAAACGAGTGATTGGCTTGTATGCACTTTTAACGTCAAGTACCTCAGTGAAACCGCTCCTTTTGCGGCCTGCGTCAGGATTTTGATATTTTCTCATCATGGAAATTGAGTGTGCTTTGGAAAAAATAACTGGGAACTGAGTCTCCCAATGTGCGTCAGATTAATACTGTATTATCTACACCTGAGATTGTGCAAAGACATGATATACCGCCATTAGCTTTTCATGATGCAAGAATATATATATATATACACGTTTAACTAAAATTACAGCAATTCGAGAAACTTCCAGCCCTGAGGGCCCACAAAAATTCCTATATATACAGGAGTTTTTGTGGGCCCTCAAGGCTGGAAGTTTCTCGAATTGCTGTAATTTTAGTTAAACGTGTAGCTGTTACACATATCCAAGATGTTTGGCTCTTACAAATCTGGGAAATTGGAAGTTCATTGATGTTGCTGCAGCTGTCTGAAATGGCCCTTCTAGTGTCTTAGTTCAGTTGGCAGCTTGGCAAAAAGCAAAAATAACCTTATTCTTCATGGCCATATGATCTTTTCTTGTTTTCCTACTCAAATAGTCTTCAAATGTTAGTTTTAGCTCATTCTGTCTATCAAGGGATAGTCAAAAGTACCGTTACTTCCACTTTTGGTGAATTAAAAATAGAATCACCAAGATCATTTTATTAAGATATTTCTTAAAAACAAAATATTTTTTTTAAATGTAAAAGTCATTTTTCAACAAAATTGTGTATTTGGGCTTATGGTTCTGTAGAGTTTGTCTCAAATGTTTTTTTCTATCTCAAAATAAAATGTTTGTGGAAAAAAATGCTTATGTTTTGTTTCAGGGAGATAAATATTTTATACCAATGGTTGTAACTTGAATTTCATTCCTTGATGCTAACTTCATCATGGTGGATGGCTGGGCAGATTAGACTTTCCTGTCAGCTTCAGTATAGGAAATCCTGCGGTGAGCAGCAGGTTGGATTAGAATGACCTCCCGGGTCTCTTCCAATCCTAATATTCTCTGTGTATTCCAAAGAACCTAACCTTTTGGAAAGATGTCTACCATATTTCTTAAATTCAACCACCTCCTTTAGGATGTACAACTTGTTTCTTTTCATTCTGGCCACTTTTATAGAGATATATCTCTGATCCAAGTCACTTTTTGCTGTTGTAACTTTGAATGGTAACTAAGTGAACTGTTGTAAGCCAAGGACTACTTGTAAACTTCCCTAAAGTTTATTTCAAACCTCTCTTGCCTCTGTAGGTGGGGCGGGGTGGGGGTTTTCTAGTTCCCGTCATTCCTTCTGGTTGAAGACAACCAGATCTAAAACTTAAGGAAAGGCATCAAAGTGCAAGGAAACCATTAATACAAGCAGCTGCGATTTTTCCTCATTTTATTGGGTAAATGATTTAAAAGGTAATAACAATAGTGTTAAAACTACTACAATATCTTTCCACAGCCATATCTCACAGACCCACAAATTACCTTCTAAAGTAGTTTTTTTTTAACTTTTTCCTCATTTTTATCTTTAAGCCACCATACTTATAAAATGCCCGTTTTTTTTAATCAACAGTTTCTTCACACTAATAGCAAATAAACATGGAAATAAGAATCGAGTCTTAATGGAAGGAAGTTTGTGGTAATCTGTGATAATATTGTAATCAATAGTCAAAGGAAAAGGGGGAGGGGCTTGAGCTACTCCAGGTAGATCATCTGCCCACCTATGCCACTTTTTCCATTGAAGATAACTAGTTATTATGCTGGTGAACAATTAATTCTTGTAACATATAAAACACTAAAATAACTTAGAAACTAGATCCAAATCTTTTGGAAAGAATCAGCTTTGATATACAAAAACAGTCATAAGTTGTTACAAAAGTTTTTTTTTCTTTTTAACTCAGTGCATTTATGTACCAGTGTGACCACTGGCTTCAGAGCAGAAGGAAGTTTCTTTCTTTCTTTCTGAAACAGTAATAATAAAAAACAAGGAAAAAAACATATCTTTGTATATAAAGAATCATTGCTGGTCTTAAGAAGTGTAACCAGAAACCCTTAGAATCTGAGAGGCACATGTCGGGTTTCTATATTATTTTATTTAAACATAAAAGTCACCAGTTTAATTTCATCAGAGGAGCCTCAGCGGTTCCTCAAACTTAATTAACATTACTAGCAAAAATCAGTTAGAAACTGTACAAAAATAAAAAAGTTAACCCATTTGCATCCTGCAGAGACTTTGAAGGATCGGAAGGCAGACATTTTAAGAAGCAGCATTGAGGCTCAGCTGGAGGTGTCTTTGGTTCAGTCCAACACACAAAAATTTCGGCTACTCCAGACAGTTTCAAGAATCCAGAACAAGTTGAAGACACATCAAGAGGTTGAGATCATCAATGTGAAATGGGATGGGGGTGGGTGGGCCAGGTGCTCCCAGCTGATGGTGCATCAGCACAGGAAGGAGGCATCTTTCCTTGCGGGGTCTGTGTCCAACCCCAGAACAAAGATGGTGCAATGCACCCGCTTCTCTCCTGGATGGAACAGTGGTCCCACCATCTCCTCCCTCTTAGCTTCAGCTGGACATTTGTTCCCAAACTGTCCTTCACCACACAGGTGTACGAAAGAAAACATTTAAAGCTAAAACTAAACCGCCTTTTTGATTTATTTTTTGGAATGAAATAAGGCAAGAAAACACAACCGCTGCCTGAACAAGACCGACCTATGGCTCACTGACCCAAAAAAACCCAGGTTGGAAATGGACACGGCTTTGCAGACTAAGGAGGGACCGCAAAAGCTATTTGGGGTCTGAGGGAAACACCTAAGGAGGGCAGCACGGTTGGGGCAGTTTAGTAAGGCAGGGCTCTGCAACCGTGGCAACTTTACAACTTGTGGACTTCAGCTGCCAGAATTCCTCAGCCTCAACCAGGCTGGTTGAGGAATTCTGGAAGTTGAAGTCCACACGAGTCATAAAGTTGCCACGGTTGCAGAGCTCTGCCGTCAGGAACAGCAGTCCAGTTGCATGGCCAGCCCTTCCCTGACCCAAGAAACAACCAGGAAAAAACAAGGCCCACAGACCACTGAAGCCCACAGATCGCCACCCATACGTCAGGTTTTTGCTGAGGCATCTCGCCAGCCTTGCAAGGTTCCAGGAATAACTCTCAAAACAAACATATAGATTTACAACAGGTTCAAAAGAGTCTGGAGGTTTTTTTTTGGTTTTCTTTTTTTTTTTTAAAGCGCACCTTTCCAGTTTGTTCAATCCTTTGAATGACAGCTGTTGTTTCTGATTAAGTTCCCAAAGCAACAGCTATACGGAGACACCCAAAACGAGAGAAAATAAAAAATATTGTGCATTATGCTGACAAGATGATCCTTTTTGTTTTGTTTTTTTTGTTCCTCCTCCAAGCCAGGGTGGGAAGTATTGCTGACCTCTTCCTTCAAACCCTGCAGGATTGTTTTTATTTAAATCAGTATATCATTATTACATTGGTAAGAAATTCTGTATAACATCTGCATATATTGAGGATTTTTTTTCCTAAAAAAATCTGATATGATTTTAGAGTCCGCATGACCAGTCACGTGACCTGCTTAAGATGATTAGCACCTTTAAATACACACATATATATATATTTAATATATATATAATAGACTTTTCTTTTCTTTAAAAAAAACTTAACATTGAGCTCACCCAGAAGCATGAACTGTAATGAGAAAAGATGGCTCTGTGTGCGTGTGTGTGTGTTTGTGTGTTGGGTGGCCATGGTAGATATTCCAAATGCTTGCAGCAGAGAAATTTTGCTTTAACTTGTGCTCAAGTTTCCCTTTCAAGGCAAAACAGGGAAAGTTGCAATTAGACAGCAACTGACAATACTTTTCACATAAAAAATGAACCCCCCTTTCCACCCTCCTGATAGGGAATGACACCCCAGAACTTCAAACCGAAGCTCCAATGGGTTCTTTTCCTCGTCCATTGCCCTTTTTTTATTTTTTTCAGGATTTTTGCTTATTTGAAGATTAAGGCATCAAAACAGAAAGTTAGTATCCAGACGTTCAAATACTGTGGATCGAAGGAAAGACTGTGATGAAATGGCTTTCTCCTTACTTCCCCACTGGGATCATAGTCAACTCTTTCAACCTTTCAACCTTCAGGGCCTGCGATACGGCTTCCTGTCTCTTATTATGGTAGTCTATGTCTATGAAGGTCGCATCCCTAAATGGATTGAAATTTGGGGGGGGGGGGACTTTTGTCAAAATGGTATCTGCCTCCTCCAAGATGTTTTTCTAATTCTCAAGAAGGATCACTGAAATAGAGCTCTGAGATCTATTTCATTAAAGTTTGTATGAGTTCAGGAACCGCCTGAAATGAGAACTCGATGAGTTAGGAGTTAGGATGAGCTACCTCTGCTACTTCCACCCTGAGATGGTAACAATTCCGATTCTGCTAAACTTGGTACAATTTCCTAGATCTACTATCCAAAAATACCTCTAGCACTGCATTGCAGCTTCATAAAAAAGGTAACTGCTATTAGATTTTTAATTTAAAATTATTAACCATTAGGATTTTCCTAAAAACCAGTGGGCTTTTCTTTTTCTCTTTTCTTTCTCTCTCTCTTTATTTCAGTGCACCTACTTTGGTTTTCATTTCATTAACAAAAGCACCAAAAATTGTGCCATCAAGAACGGCTAATTTGTACAGGGGCAAGCCTTGTAAGGTCGGAGACCAAAATTGTATCCTTCTCTCCAAAGAATATTTTTCACCTGCCTGGAAAGTTTGGAATTTGGAATAGGTATAACTCCTCTTGTGCTTCTGCTGCCTTGCCTTCCTCCCCAAAACTTGTTTCTCCTAAGGCACTAATATCCAAATTTGTTAACTTCCTAACACAGCAGTTTCTTCAAGCTAATCCTCCTGATTAGACTCCACAAGAAACACTGGAGAAGTGAAAGAGAATCTTGGAGGGACTCTGATTGGTGCTGTTTGTCAATTTGCTGATGGTACGAGCTTGGCAGATCATACCATCCACCTGAAGACAGATTTAAGAACCAGGAGTGGGGAGACACAGACTATTTATCTGTCAATTTTTAGTTCCAGTGATTTGAATGGGCAATTTGAAAGGATTTGAACCAGGACCTCAATCTGGGTCTGTCTAAACCAGGGGTGTCCAACCTTGGTGATTTTAAGACTTGTGGACTTCAACTCCCAGAATTCCCAGCCACCCATGCTGTCTGGAGAATAATTGGGAGCTGAAGTCCATGCTGGCTGGGGAATTCCGGGAGTTGCTAAGGTTGGATACCCCTGGTACAAACCAAAAGCACAATCTGTTTCACATCATAATTAATTCAGTTTATCACTGTTATTTGCCTGGGCCAACCAGACCAGGAATCAGAGGTTCGCGTAGTCTAACCATTTTTATCATGGGAACTGCTAAAGAACTCATCCTATTCAAGGCAATCTTTATCTTGTTACTGATTTTATGATTTTAAGAGCAGACTACTGTATTTCATTCTTCTCTACCCTGACACGTTCGCATTCTTTCCTTCCATCAACAGTTTCACAGAAAAGGTAATCGATACAATTGAGTGATAAATGAACTTTAAAATGTTACTATTAAAAAAGAGAACCTGTTTTTTTGTTGTTATAACAAAAAGAAAAGAAAACCCAGCCAGCCCAGTGACTCATTAAAAAAAAAGAGGGGGGGAGAGAGAAGAGAGCAAAGGGGTTCTTTGTAATGATGCAGCGTTTCCACCCGTTGCCATGGCGAGCTTAACCTGCGGTGGAGAAGCGTCAACATGGCAACGGAAATTATCATCATAAAATGGTACAGTAATAGAGATAGCTAGACCAAGAAGGAGGGGGTTCTCCTGGGAAGAGGTTTGCAGAAAAGTCCAGAGACTGGTCATACGGCTCAGTGTCAGGAATAATGGTTGTAGGGGGGGAGGGTGTGCCCGATGCCATTTTGGAAGTGGTGATGCTGTCGGTGGGCAAGGTATTCTGTGTAGCTCACAGTCATCTTCTCACTACGATACCTAAAAGAAAAGTTGGGAGAGAAAGGGATAAAGAGAGAAGGGGGTGGGTGGGACAAACTTAATCCTCCTAAAGTTTTTGGGGGAGCAGTGGTTTGAATACAGTATTGCAGGCTAACTCTGCCCACTGCTAAGAATTTGATCCTGACTGGCTCAACATTAACTCATTCTTCCATCCTTCTGAGGTGGGTAAAATGAGGAGCCAGAGTGTTGGGGATCATAGGCTGGCTCTGTAAACCGCCCAGAGAGTGCTGTAAAGCTATGCTATGCTAAAGCAGGAAAAATTAAAAGACTTCAATGTCCCTTCCAACTCCATTATTCTGTTCCAGCTTAAGACATGGGTGTCTGACCTTTGGCTTGCCTGAGCCTCACTGAAAGAGGAGGAATTGTCTTGGGCCTCATAGGAAATATTAAATATAGTTAATGCAGATAAATAACAAACTGCCTTGATTTTTTATTATTTTTATTATATCTTGTAGAGTCACATGACTAGCTGTCCAGGGCAGCATAGGGCTTGCGGATTAGACATGCCTGGTTTAAGCATTAAAGGAAAACCAGAAGAACAAGAAAAATTCAACAGAACTAAAACTAGGAAGATTTATTTGGTTAAGATATAACTTCCCAAAACTCATCTCTGCCATGCCAAGACTTCAGTTCTCACTGTCTGCTACTTACTTATTAGGAAAATGTATGTGGTTGCCCAACTCACCCATGGTGCCTTGATTTTTTATTATTTTTATAGTTTACAGTTTATAGTTTATATTTATTTTTATATTTTACGGTTTACAGAAGTAAAAGCCCCCCAATACAAAACCTAGTAACAACTCAACCCCCCCAACAGTCAAACCAACTACTTGATGGGCTTGAGGCCCTCAGACTCTCTGACCAACCAGGTTTTTAGGGGCTTAGTGTCAAAGCGGGGCCAATGTTATATATGCAGAGATTATGTTCCACAGGGTAAGGGGCCACCATGGAGAAACCAGAACTGGAATGGATGTGGACAGTCAAGACCAAAGGGATAGGAACACTTGGGGCCATGACTCTTAAACTGGGAGAGGGGTTCCAACAGATCCCAGGAATGACATCCAGAAGAGTGCAGGGATAGGAACAGCTAAGGTCTGCATAGAACTCCAGCAAAACCCAGGACAGGACTTCTTACCTGGTCAGTTTTATTGTTTTCCTGAAATCGTTTGTGATTGGAGCCTTATAACCTCCTTTCCTCAATAAGGAATCTATGGTCTGAATATGGTCCCAGCCTGTGGATAGTCATTAGAAGAGAACACACAAAGAAAATCAGCTCTCAGAGTTTTGCAAAAGGTTTAACTGATTGCAAAGAATACAAACTGCCTGGAGATTTGTATTTCTAGGGGGATTTCCTGCAGGTAAGCTGGTTAAAGCTGAACATTTCAGTGTTGTGTTCTGTTATGAGAAGCAGTGTAACACAATGGCTCATCCCTAATCTGGCACTCACTGGGGATGATGGAAACTGGCGTTCAACACTTCTAAGTTTGGGGACCGAATTGTGTGTAGGAAAAACTAAATTAAGAATTTTCATTTATCATCCACAGTGCTGTGTTGCAGACTTAGTAGGACAACTGCCATGTTAGTAGCAAAAGACCAAAAGGTCAGGTTTCTGCTAGCCTCTTTTGAGACTAACATGTCTTCTAATAAAACTTGTTAGTCAGAAAAGCACTATGAGAACCCTTCTGATTTTCAATCAGCCGTGATGTTCACTGGGAAATCTTCTTTCTGTTTAGATTTCTTGATCCTTTTTTCTGCAATAACAGAAAGGAGGAGGAATCAAGGGTAAATTTTCATCTTTTTTGTTATTTATATTCCAATCAATATTCTAAAATCAATGTAGTTTAGAACAGGCGTCTCCAACCTTGGCAACTTTAAGTCTGGAGGACTTCAACTCCCAAAATTAAAGGCTTAAAGTTGCCAAGGTTGGAGACCCCTGGTTTAGAACAAGTCAATATGAAAGACCCTTGCAATGAAATCTACTTTATAGCGCAAAGGTCAAATATTTACGTTTTATCAAAGGATTATGCAATCCAACAAACTGTTGCTTGGTTCCTGCCTGTCCAAAGGTTTTGAGAACAATGCCAATGCCATAGGATTAACTTCAGATAGTCCTTGATTTACAACAATTCATTTAGTGACTATTCAATTTTACAATGGCACTGAAAAAAGGGACTTGTGACTGTTTTTCACACTTAGAACCAGCACAACATCCCCATGGATACGGGATCAAAATCCAGATACTTGGCAACTGACTCGTGTTTATGACAGTTGCCATGTCCCAGGGTCACGTGACCATGTTTTACAACCCTCTGACAAGCAGTCAATGGAGAAGCCAGATAACAACCATGCTACTAACTTAACACCTGCAGTGATTCACTTAACAACTGCGGCAAGAAAGGTTGTAAAATGAGGCAAAGCGCATTTAACTACTGTCTCACTTAATGAAATTTTGGGCCCAATTGTGGTCGTAAGTCCAGGACCACCTGCACTTTGTCTATTACATACATATCATATCAACAATAATATCCATGCAACTCTTCGAAATTATAAGCAGGAGATTCTGTGCACTTTCACAGCACAGAAACCCTGACAAATATATAACTTCTAGTCTTTTTTAAAAAAAAATCCAATTTCCTACTAGTGAAAATTTTATGAGCACTTACGCTCCTTACTGAAACTAAGTGTCACACTCTGAACTGTGACCATGGAAAATGCTGTTTAACAATAGCTTTCAGTTGGAGTCTGGCATTTAGGCAGTGCCCATTGTGTCAGTCCTTTCTCCATTTTTATGATAGCTCTTTATATCCTGTACAAGAGGTCTTGGGGATAGTTCAAAAAAACTATGACCAAGATTATACCTGATACGGCCAATTCTATTTCTTTGACTTGCCTGATATCCTTTTTTCAGAGAATTATCTCAATAACCTACCTTAGGGGTGTATCTAAAAGAAATGTCAGAAGAGAGTCTACGGACATTCTCAGTCATCCAGGTCATGGTTGTCCCAAAGGGCTTTTTTAAGAAGCAGGTGCACTTTGTTTTTCATTGAAGAAGTTTTGCTTCTCATTTAAAAAGCTTCTTTAGTTCTGACAATGGTGGTGGGGAAATGGAAGGATTTATATTCCTTGCAGTCATCTGGTCATTAGCACTCTGAGAGTCATTGAGGTTTATCTATGTCCCCTTGGTCATCTGAATCAGAGTGTAAATTGTGCAGCCCTTTGTCAGCAGAGGGGAAGGTATATGACACCACCTCTCTATCTACAACACAGCCCTTTCAGCAGTTCCAACATTTCACACTTGTTTGCACTCTGATTCAGGTGACCCAAAGGGCACAGATAAACCCCCAAGTGGCCTCAACGGTTCTCAGACAAAATGCTAACGACCAGATGACTGCAAGAGTATAAATCCTATTTTCTCTCACCATTCAGTCAGAACTGAAGAAGCTTCTTGGATGAAAAGCTAAACATCTTCAAAGAAAAACAAAGAAAGTCCAGTTGCCTCTTGAAAAAGCACCTTTGGGTCAGGAGCAGTTAGGTAAGAGGATTTAAAAAAAAAATCTGAAATGTTTTCATAAATGGTGACAGTGGCCCTTTAAAAGAGCTTTCTGCACACTGGTGTCTGGAGCATTCCTTCATTATATCTGGATGGATTATTTTGTCCACCATCTCTCATCACTGTTTGGCCCAATGCTGTTTTGTTGGCAGCTGCTGCCTATGTCTGGATCCCTTTAATCTAGGGAAGCACCTCTGAACCAGGGGATCTGCATTCTACAAGTGTGTAAGTGGCATTTAAAAGAGTCATCCCTTACAATCAATGGACCGCTCCATCATCTGACATCAGGGCAAGGTCAAAAACTGCATTATAAGTTCCTAGGCATGTTTAAATTCTTCACCAGATCATATGAGATAAAGCACAACAATGACCTTGCTCCTTTGCAACCTCAGGTAAGTAGGTGGCTGTGCGTTTTGATCCTTTTTCATTGATGAATTCTATTCTAATGCCATGTACACCCACCTGAAAGAAACCAGTAGTTTTATTAGTACATTAAAAAAAATAAGAAAGCAAAACAAAGATTGTTAGAAATATAAAACATTTGTGATTATTATTGGATTGGGTTTTTTTCTTCTTCCTTGTAGGTATTTCTTTCTTTAAAAGCACTTCAGTTTAGCCTCCCTGAATGGGAAAACCCAGGACCAAAACACCTATTTCTCATTCAGCATGTTTTAGGAGATGAATGGAACCATTAAGTCTCTTATGGTACTTATGGCAGCTTAAATCTAAAGTCTCAGTTGCAAGCGTTATCTGCTTCGTTTCCACTGTCAAAAGTAATGACATTCAGCATGTGACACATAGGCTGAAGCTGCTGAATTCAATGCTCAGGAGAAGTAGCTGGTCACAGGATTAGAGCATACTTACAAACACAATGACAAGGTTAACTTTATTTCAAGAAGCCAGGAGAAATCAGTGGACCCAGACATTTAAGAAAGGATCCCCCCCCCCAAGCTCTTGTGGCAAACTGCACTTGTGACTAACCCAGCAATTAGAGACACATTCAAATGCTAGGTCACCAGACACACGGCTATGGAGCACGAAAGGAAGAGTTTTGTGAGTTTACTTTAGAGGCATTGCTGAGAGATTCAAATACAACTGGTACAAATTACTTTGGACCAATAGTGCTTTTCAAGTTTCTTTTTAAAGGAAGGCCCAAGTTGTTTTTATTTTTAATGAGATACTATTTTTCTTGTGCCTGATGGTGATCCAAAGAAGTTAAATGTGCATGTGCCTAAATAGATGGGAATAAAAATATAATGGATCTTCTGAATCAAAAATAAACCCAAAGCATCTAGTTTGATCATGCTAACATATGTAAGATTCATATGAAAATTCAACTTCTTTCTCAATTGCTTAGAAAAGGCATGTCTTTTCCAAAACTGGTTCAGAATAGTCATCAAATCAGTTTTATACAAGTAGTCCTCCATGTACAACCATTTGTTTAATGAGAGTTCAAAGTTACAATGCTACCAAGAAAGGGACTTATGACCATTTTTCACACCTACGACCGCTGCAGCATGATCAAAATTTGGATGCTTGGCAACTGGCAAGTATTTGTGACAATTACAGTATCCCAGAGCCTTTTGCGACCATCAGGCAAGCAAAGTCAGTGGGGAAGGCAGATTCACTTAACCATTGTGTTACTAATTTAACAACTGCAGCCACTGTGACAAGAAAGGTTGTAAAATGAAGCAAAACTTACTTAACAAATGTTTCACTTAGTAACAGAAATTTGGGACTCAATTCTGGTCGTAAGTCGAGGACTACCTGTACAAGACCAATTTGTGCTCAGATTGCAAATGTTAACTATTATGTTAACAATGCTGAATGCTAAATTGGTTGATGAGATAGCAGGTGATAGAAGTTCAGAGAATCATAGGGCTGAAAGGGACCTTGGAAGTCTTCTAGTCCAACACTCTATAAAATTTCTATAAAAATTCCTCCCAAACCCTTTTCTGCAGCTACTTGGTGGGCTAGTTGTGTCCCCGAACTATGAGGCTCAAGAGTATTGAACACTTCCTTACCACACCTAGCTGTAGTTCAAGATATAAAATATATCCACCTTTATGTCACTAACAGAGTAGTCAAAAAATCAACTGGCTTCTAAACTCTGGGATTCCTAGGTTATAATGCATTTAAATTATCTTCTGAACTGCACTTGCAAAATGCAAGGCTTTGACATACAAGAATGAATAAGCAAGAAGTGATTACTATTTCTGAGGACCAGACTACATGGAGAATTAACACCAACAGTAATATGTCAGATGGATAATAAGGTCTCATAATTGCAGAGTTACTACTAGAAATAAAGCTGGTGAGACAGGACCGTGCGGTTCTCAGGCTCAAGAGAATCACTGTCATAACGTAGCTGTCTCCTCACACAGCCTATTTTAATTCTGGAGCATGGATCATATGTGTGTGTGTGTGTGTGTGTGTGTGTGTGTACATACATATACATTTATGGTATTCAGCTTTGTTTGGGTATTTTCCCACGTCATTATAGTTGTGCTTTTAAAGTTGTAGCAATGTTTCGGCAGAAACTCATCTGCCATCATCAGGCTTCTGTATTGTGTTCGTCTGTGAGTCAGACTTTCACAGCCGTTTCTGTTTTAAATTTGGGGCTAGCCTACTGCTGTGCCAGAATGGTTTTTTCTTCATCCTGATTGGTTGGGAGTCTTGGTCTGTGTTTATTGGTTTGCTGTGTTCTGCTTGATTGGTGTTTCTAATATCTTCTGTCTGTTTTGTGGCTTTTTTTGTCTTGATTGGGTTGCAACATTGTGTTCCTGTATTGGAGGCTTTTAGTGTGGCTTGGCTCCGAGTAAATGGATGGCTATCATTTATTAGGAAGCTAGGTTTCATCTGGGTGCCTGGTTGGGGTGTGTTTGAGCTGGAGGTATCAAGGGGAGTCTGTTTGTGCCCAGGTGTTTGGCTGGCTTGTGGTGTGGATATTTTTTTTGTTTGTGAGTGCAGGCTTCCAAATAATTGACAGTCTGGTGGAATCATCTCTTCTATTCATGCTTTCAGGTCTTTTTTCAATCTCTATGGCTTCTCTGATAATTCTGTAGCTGGGGTTTTCTATAGTGGCTAGGGTTTTGATGCCATTGAAATCCATCGACCTGTTGCTTTCATGTGTTGGACTAGTGAGGAAGTGTGTTCCAGCTTTTTTACTGCATTTTTGTGTTCATCCAGGCAGGTACTTATTCTTCTATTGGTCTGTCCAATGTATGTGGCAGGGCATGATGCACAGGGGACTTCATATATGCCTTGGTTTTCCAGGTCAATTTTACCTTTGGGGTTTCTTAGGATGGCTGCTATTTTTCTGTCTGTTTTGAAGGCAGTCTTGATGTGATGCCTGTGTAGTATCTTACTGATTTTGTCTGTAGTACCTCTTATGTAGGGCAGGACAGCCGTTCCATAGGTCTGTTCATCTTCTGGGTCTCCATTATGTCTCAGTGTGTTTTTGTGGATCAAGCTGGTGATTTTGCTTCTGTGGAAGCCGTTAGCTGTCAGTACTTTAGTCAGGGTGCATAGTTCATTCTTTATGTGTGTCTTATCTGCCAGACAGACAAACAACTACGATTCCTAGATGTACCAATCTACAAAAAAACAGATGGCACACCGTATACCAGAAGAAAACACACACTAAACGCTACCTGATGGATGAAAGCAACTTGCTTTGTGGGAAACTGAAGCGATCTAGATATCAGCTTTTAGCTCTCACTAAAACTGGCCTTGTTTTGTTAATTGCCTTGTTATTTTGATTAATATTTTTATGTAAGACGTATTAACCAGATGAACTTTTTAAAACAGATATGTATATACATGCAAATTAACGACATTAAGGGTTCTAAGAATAATTGGAATAAATCCTTTTGATGTTTGCCCATCTGGGCAGGAGAGAGAGAAAGCACGCAAGAGAACAGGAGAGACTAATGACTATCAAATTATTCCTATCTACATGCTCTTAATTTATTCCCCATTATAATATAAAGTGGCTTGTCATTTTTCCAATTAGAATACAAAAAAAGACTATGTAACTAATGCTCTATCTTACAAATGAGGGGCCAAAGGGTCATCTTGCTATAACAGCTACAGAAAACTCAACCTTATTCTGTAGGAAATCTATGCCTTTTTGCTGCTCAGATATCACTGATCCTAAACCTCAAAGAGTGAAAAATGCTTAAAAAAAAGCAGAACACACTCAAGAGCTGGCATTTTCAAGAACTCTTCATTCAAGGCAAAAGCAACATCAGGTCCTTTGTAGCTGAAACCCTCAGCACTGCTTTTGATTCTTTTGATGAAAGCTGAAAGATTATTGTTTTTCAAACATGGAGAATACCATGCCTACTTTCAAGATGGGTGGAACATAGAAGGGAGGATTTATAAACTACAATGGAAATGTCAATGGAGGTCCTCAGTTATCCAGGTCATGGTTGTCACAAAAGTGTTTTTTCAAGAGGCAACTGGACTTTCTTTGTTTTTCCTTGAAGACGTTATGTTTCTTATCCAAGAAGCTTCCTCAGTTCTGGTTCAGCTCAGTTCTCAGAACTGAAGAAGGAAAAATAAAGGAAATCCAGTTGCCACTTGAAAAAGCACCTTTGGTACAATAGAGATGGTCATACTGTTCTAGGATGTCTATCAAAGGGGACAAAATCTTCTGGTGTTAAAACACAATAATGTCCTCTTGTTGGTGCCCCAATTTTTCCTATGGAAGGGCAATCATTTACTGGTATTGAAAATGTTAGCCAAGGTATTTCGAACGCTTGAGAGAAAAGTCTGATTCCCTTATTTTGGTAATCTCCACCAGTGATTACCATTCCACTATCAAGAAACTTCAGTTTGCAGATGTCCATTCTGGATTCTGTTTCTTGGTTAGTGTAGGTAACTTTGATTTACTTTGTTTCCTCCAGAAATGCCAGACATAAACTACCTGACAGTTATCTTAGCTAGCTGAAGATAGTGAAAGCCTTTTCACTTGCACCATGCCATATTCTTCCATCTGCCGCTCTGGACAGCAAATATAAAGTTGGTTGAAAGGCTGTCCCTAGAATTCTGGAGAGGTGGAAACTTCTGGACATGGCCTTCTTCACTGCTTTTTTTACAGAGACATTCAAACAAAATTTATTTTCCAGATAATTAATAGTTATCCTGGCCATTTGGACATTGTTTATCTTAAAGGCAAATGGATCGTAGTCACAGTGCAGGTAACTAGATTCTGCACAGCAGTACTAAAGATTCATCAGAACCTGATGAATAATCTATTATAACTATTTTATACAATAATGTACTAAGTCTTTTGGTACTATCAGCTGATTGCATTTTACTATTTAGTGACTATAGGTCTTCACAGTTGAAGAAGTTATATTATTATATTATATTATATTAATTATATTATATTTATTATATCTTAGGCTGTTTTCTTGTTTACATGCAACTAATGGATAGGATTGTCAAATTACAAT